TCTAAATTCATCATATATAATTATGTTAATATTAAATCTCTTTAAAACTCTTTTACCAAAGATATTTCGTTAGAATAACCAACTGGTGCATTCATATTGATTTTATCAGCATTTGTAATACTTATATAAAAGATGTGCCCATTGTAGACCAATCCACTTTAAAGCCACACTAAAAATAAATAATTGGCATCTGCAAGATGAGTATCATTCTGATTCGAACAGCGACATAAAAGACATAATACTGACAGCTACATAACTATTCTTATTCTGAGAACTATACGAACGATGAAGCCATGACAGCTACATGGGTATTATTTTAATGACAGCTACATGAAAGATGAAGAACTTACAGCTAAATGAGTTTTATTATAGTGACAATGTATGATTAATATGGCACGAACAACCATGTCACTTGTATTATACTTACAGCTACATATAAATCTAGCAATAACAGTCGCACAACTATTTTATACTGATAGCTACATGAAATATATGACACTGACAGCTACATGACTACTGTTATACTTACAGCTACATAGTTATCATTATATTGGCAGATGCATGATTGTTATTATTCTTACAGCTAGAGGAAAGACATAATACTGATATCTACATGATTATTTTTACACTGACAACTACACAAAAGATATAGCAATGACAGCTACATGGTTATTTTCATAATGACAGCTACATGAAAGATGTAGCATCGGATGCCACAATACTATGATTATATTGACAGCTACACGATCAGTATTATTCTGACAGCCACCCCAAAGACGTGATACTGATATCTACAATTGTTTTTGACTAAAATAATAATGACAGCTACAAGAAAGATGTAGCACTGACAGCTTCATGAGTATCATTATAATGACAGCTACAAGAAAGCTGTAGAACCTACATCTTTATGGTTATTATCATTATAGTGACAGCTACATAAAAGATGTAGGGATGACAGCTACATGTGTATTAATATCGTGACAGCTACATGTGTATTAATATCGTGACAGCTACATATGAATTAATAAAGTGACAGCTACATGAAAGATTGCACTGACAGCTACATGACTATTATAACTGGAAGCCATATTACTATAATCATAACGACAGCTACATGAAAATTATGACACTTATTTAACAAAAGACACTGTATGCTTTATGGACTAGATGAACCAACAATAAAAATATATTGCTAGCAAAAGACTAGTTGTAACATTAGCTAGCTCCGTCAAATGCATGTTGGATGAATGGTTGAAACATAGAATAAATTTTAGGAGTTTAGATTTTCTTGGATCCGAAGTGTTCGTTTCATACTACCGACACTACTGCCTAGTTGAGCCGGAAATAAGGACTTTCCTAATGGATGTTTTCCTTTCTGAAATTTAGAGAAAATAGATATGAGCCGCGTCACGACAAAACCAACATAATGGGTTTGCGACCAGCATGGATCCAGACCAGCCTGCGCATCCGCGCAGTCTGATCAGGATCCATGCTGTTCGCTTACCAACCCTATTACAAGTAGAGAAACTGATAGCGAACAGAATGGATCCTGATCAGACTGCGCGGATGCGCAGGCTGGTCTGGATCCATGCTGGTCGCAAACGCACTATGTTGGTTTTGTCGTGACACGGCTCAATTATTATAAGCACGAAAAGAAGATTATATTATGTCCTAAAACTGGAATGTTGTTCAAACTTCATTTACTAAATGTCTATTTTAAGCTCGATAACTGACTGATTTATTTAACTGGCAACAGAAACTTTTATAGGCGTGTTGTTTATCAATCCATATCAGAGATTGAAATTGAGATGGAACCACCAAAACTTACATGAATATTCGCCCTAAAGACAAGTTAGCAAAAAAAGGGATATATAAACGTGTCAGTTTGACTGTCTTTAAGGGAGGGGTGCATTGTATTGTTTACAGTAAACACTTAAAATTTTATTGAAAAGGCAAAAAGTTTATCAAGCTTTTTCCTATATAATTTTGGCAAATCTCGTTTGTTTTTGCATCCTGTATTGATTTTAAAGTGTTTAAAGCTATATATCTGCTGAAAAATTTATTGTCTGAATTTAAAAAAAATACTTCCAAACAGCTTGTGTGAAATAAAAATGGTAGATAATTGCCTTAAATGCAAACGACACATACATAAAATCATTGCTAGACGAATAAAACCCTTCTTAAAATAGCAAAAAATATTTTGTTCCGGAACATATTTTTCTGTTTACGTACAATATTCATGTGTGTTAAATAACAGAGACCTTCTCTGTTAAAACTTACTTTGGAATCTAAATCTAAAATCTAAATCTTATTTAAAAGCGTAATCTTGACATAGTTTTCTGTTGCCAAAATTCACATTATCTTAAACAGCGAAAAGGATTGACCAAATCTGACGAATTTATAATAAATGCACTGTCCAAATTTTCTTACATGTAAAGTGAATTTACAAAATTTATTTAGTTCATTTGCGTTGGACGCTTAAATATTCCTATTAATACATTATTCGATTACCTCATCGCAAAAGTCGCTGGGACTACAAAAAATATGGCGATTTTCCTTTAGGTTTCATTATGAGGTGACGACGATGATGTTTTTGTCAACGCAAAAATGACATTGACCTTTGACCTACTGACCTTAAAGTTAATAGGAATCATTTACAGATCATGACCAACTTTTCCAACGCACTATGTTGGTTTTGTCCTTGTGCGGCTCAAATTTAATGTTGAATATGAAGAATTCACTTTTTATCATTACCCCTTAATCGTGAGTTCAAGAAACCATGTAATGATTATTGAAGACAAGCTTGTGACGATTTTTGACAATTATTAAATCATAAAACTGATTGACATGAAAGTACTTGACTTTATTGTTACAATTAGAACACGGAATCAGTTTGAACGTTTTGTGACAGTAAATGTAAACTATTTGAAAACGTATTAATAGAACACTTCAACTAAGTTATGTACATGCACACAATTAATAAGATTCGAGGTTATGAAATAGAAGAAACACAGTATGCAGTTAAAAAGTTAATCCGATTCTTAAGATTTGGTTAGGGAGAGAACTCTAGAAAACAAATTTATGCTCCCGCACGGCCTACTTTTCCTGAAAATGTGATCATAGTTAACTCCCCTTACTAGCACGCAAACGTCTAGAATTACAAAGACTAGACTACGTGTTTGTTTTTCCCGCGCATTAAATAATGAAAAATGTCGTTTGGATTAGCAGTAAATGTGTTAGTTACCATCAAACAAATCGTAGAGAATTATAATCGTCAATTACTTTAGGTGCTTCTTCCTCTCTTTTCTGCCTTGGTGACCGTTTGACCCTGGGTTTGCCCGTAACGGGGTCAATGTCCGGCATTTCATATTCATGGTATGAGGTATATGGTTTGTACTCCGGAATTTTTACTTGGATCTGCAAGACAATGTTTTGTTGAAAGAAAACAGTGTGTAAAATTAAGAATATGAAAACAATGAGGTAGAAGGTGAGGGATGAAAGGGATTATGGTAGAACGTTCATTTTGTCGACACATCAATATTTTATTACCACTGAAGGTTCGAACCCGTAAATGGACTTGATATTTCGTTTTAGGTAAAACTGTCCATGTAACGTTCGATACCTCAATCGTTGTCTTCAAATCCCTTGCCAATTACCGCTGTGGATTCGAATCAAATCAAAGAAGCCAGGTTGTATTGCTCGTTTTCTTCATCCTTATAATCAACAATACATTGCGATTGTTAAGCTGTATCTGGTAAATTTTATGTAGTTTCTTAGTTTCTTGTGACATTTAAAGGATTATAACTGACAAAGACCATACGATGCTGAACGCAATCAGCAAATGAACTCGTCTGAATGGACTCGTCCTATTTTAAAGGAGGGAATACTATGTATTTATAGAAAAAAAAACGAAGCAATAATAAAAAACAAAAAACACGCTTAAATTACATTTTATTATTATAGTTCATATACAATGTATGATGCGGAATAACATACAGTAGAATCCCTACTAAAGACCACCTCGGAATTAAGACCACCCCGCTTTTAAGACCAGTTTTTAAAAGAACGGAATTTTCTGTTCTTTATGTCAATGGTTACATAATCCAGAATTAAGACCACCTCACTTATCCACTTTTAAGACCACCAAATTCAGTCCCAATTCATTATTTTGTTCTTTATTTGATCTCACTATTGAGACCACTGATATTAAAATCAACAATTTCCTAGATCTTAAATGTGTTGCTATGTTATTATTATCTGCTTGATTGCTCTTAGGCATGACACTTGATTACACAAGGTGTCAAAATCTGTTATTTATGGGATATTTCATGAAAAAGGTGAGAAGGTTTAGGGTGGTTTAATGTTGCTTTATGCCCATTTATTTTTTTGAAGAAATAATGTCTTATATGATATGTGAATAATGTACATCATACATAATTAATATTGAAATCAGAACAAAGAAACATTTGATATTAAATTTCTTAAGAAATATGTTTTCTTCCCATCAGATGTAACATTATAACATACTTTCATATTGTATTTGCAGGTTAAGATACATATTGTTTGTTCATACAAAATGACTTAAACAGGCCCTGGTCATAACATGTGTAATCAATGATAAGAATATCCACAATTAAGACCACCCCGCAATTAAGACCACTTTGGTCCAGTCCCAATGGTGGTCTTAATTGAGGGGTTTTACTGTACATGTATTTGCCTCTTTTTTGTTTGCGACTAAACTTCGCTTCTTTTGTTCAATGATCACAGTTATACTGTTTTCTATCGTCTGCTGCTAGAAACTGTTAATTTCTAAACTCAAGTAAAACTTCCAGGGTTTCGCCACGGCCCGTAAGGGGAGATCACTGCGCGGGAGATTGATCAAAATGTCGCTGTCCATAGAACAAAATGGCGCGCTCCATATACATTCAGAATGCTTTGGGTTTCTATGTTAAGTTTGGTGTGAGTTTCAACAAATAAAGTTATTCTTTCTAATGAGATGTGAGAAAAAATGTATGTCACTGTAAAATTGAAGTGACTGGTGTTGTGGCATAAGTTATAATTTTAGTTGTTGTTTTTTTATTTATTACTTTCAGGCGGTGAACTGGAGGAGACTTTTGAAAAAATGCATACTGCACTGAATTCATTATCTGGCAAAAGTAAGTATTGTTTTCTTTTTTGGCGTACAGACCAATTTTAAAGCACAATGACCCTTAAATGTTTCCTTTTAATTTAAAAGGTTCGGGTACTCAAAACAGTAAAAATGCAAGACATACCAATTATCCAAAAAATGTGAATGAATCTTCCCTTTAATAGAATGTCATTTGACATTGAAACATTGTACTTTTTGTAACAAAACAACCTTGATTATCTTAATCATATATGTCTAAATCTGATTCTTATAAAGCTTCGGAAAAAGTTGGGGAAATGGCACAGTTAATTGAGGAGATGGCAGAGAGGGAGTGTGCACAGTTTGAGGAGGAGGATGGGGAAGATTCCGAAAACAGTCAATCGGACATGGACAAAACAATAGATGTTGACAATCAAGTACAGAGAAAGGCTGTTGCGGGCAAAGCAGCCAACTTGTTCCGAGCAAGAAACACGGCCGCTTCAAGAAATGCAGCCGCGACAAGAAATGAGCAACCAATTAATCAGAAAATGTTAGCCCTGCGGAAAATTCTGTCGCAACTTCTGGACAAGGTAGATCTTAACTAAAATCCGCATAAAATATTATATTATATTCTAGTTTTTAACTTTATTTAATATTTTATATACTACTTGTATTGCTGGGATATTTAAATGCCCATTATGCATCAGAAACAAAAAAAAATTCATTCTTTAGAAAGGAAAAACATGGAATTTATAAAGTTTAAATAATCGTTTCTGATCATGTTAAATTTCAGCTGAAGAAAGTAGCACTGAATTTGAAATTATATATCATAAAAGTAGCGAAATGTAAACAAAGTAGTTTATTGACCACCAAAATACTAAATCACTATTAATGTACCAATTGCCAAAGGGCAACAGGAGCAAAAGGTGGTTTAGGTAAATGGCCAATTAGTATTTTTTTGAAAATATAATAATGACCAAAATATAAAGCTTTTGGGAAATAAAAATAAAAATGTTTCTTGGGCATAATAGGTAATGGGTAATTCTTTGCTTTTATAGATAAAGATGTACAATTAAAACAGTGGCTCGAAAGGCTATAAAAATGTACTATTTAAAAACAAGAATGTCATCAAACTTTGTAATTCATCTACTTGATATACTCGTAACTTTAATTTTGGTGTCATCTTTATTTCAGGAATAGATGAGAGCGAACTGGCGTGACATATACACAGTGATAAAGTCAATCAAATAATTATGAAATTAAATTCATTGTAAGGGTATCCTTAAATTACATAAGACTATTAGAACAAAACAACAATATGTGTAAAACATTAAAAAAAGAATCGAAAAAAAACCCCGCAAATATGTGGGTAAAAACTATTAATTGCAACAAAAATAAATAAATAAAAGACGTGGCAGCAAAATTATTAAAGGATGTGTCGGGTGTCTCGCCGGTCGGAAATGAAAACCATGGAAACCGCAAACGGACATTGAAAATGAACTTATCTTTTACTTATTCTTTTACTTTAACTCTTTTTACCTGAAAAGACAAACAAGTAGAAAACAGAAAGAAAATCCGAACAACACTGAAAAACATGTCTCTGCTCTCCAAGAGGTTCATACATGTTCCAAGTGTTCTAAATGTTTGATGATTGATTAAAAATCCTGTATGTTGTGATTAAGTGAAGTGTTATATATGTATATAATTGTTCTTCTTCAAAAATTTCCAAACATCCAAGAAAATGTGTTGAATATGTACAGCAAATGTTAAAAAAACATATAATTGAACATTAAAGTTAATGCATTCAGTTAAGAATAAGACATTTTTTGAAGAAACCAAACTTTTTACCTATGTATGTGACATCCAAATATTGTAAATTTGGTACTTGTATGTGCTACATATTGCTGAGATGTATGTATTAGATGTTTTTTTTTGTTGTTGTTGTTTATTTTATATACAAATGTGACAGTTACTTAAATTAGAAAAATATTTTTATATAGTTTCACTATATAAGTCATAGCATAAAAAAATCAAAGCAAATTGCGCGTTTATCGGCGAACCACAGTAGAGTTTCCTTTAAATTGCCGTACCTGGACTGTCATATAAATAATGTATTTTTCCATATTATGTGTGTCTATAACTGTTGTTTGTATACTTTAATAATACCTATTTTCTTTTCCAATAAACTTTTTTCTCATTGCAATCATTTGTAGTTATCTTTTCCTAATCAATTCAAACCTCAAAATAATCATGGACATGGAGAATTCTGGGGAGCGGCTTTGTGGTTAAAGACTAAAGTAGTTCGGGTTCGAGCAGTGGTTGTGTCTACGAAGAGGACATGAAAATGGTTCAATTAGAATATAAGTATAAAGCAGCAAGCCTTCAGATACACTATGATTCATGCCAATTTTCATGAAAAGATTGAAAATTGATTAAAGAATAATAGGTTATTAAATGAACAAATAATTTCAAAGTAATTTACACATTGCAAACGGCACGTCCAATCCAAATGAATTATCAAGTAAAGGTAAAAATATGCCAACATAGCGTTTACAGCGTTAGTCACGCAGTAGACTATTTAACCTGATGATAAATATTGCAAAATCTGTTCTTCGTGGCATATTACATGTATATCTTCAATGAGATTGTGAATATTTTTACTTCTCTTAAAAGTTGATTTTCTTGAAATTGTTTGGCTCATGTGATGACATGCACGCTTTGAAGTTTAACTAAAATAAATGCATTGTGCATTGTATATTCATAGGGATAAACTTTAAAGTGGCCTTCAGCCTTTCTAAAGGTTAAATAAATAATTATATGAAATTAAACAAAATCGTTTCATATAATTGTGAGATAAAAAAAAACGATGTAAAAAAGGTGGAAAATTACATTTGCTGACGATAAAATACTTAATCAATAAGGATCCCACTCAATACCTCTAACTCTGTATTTAAATTAGTAAAGCGGACGATTCGTTTCCGATCTTCTATTTTTAGAAACAAACGTCACTCACGCGTTATAAATAGCTCTCGAGACGCTGTTTTAAAGAAGGCTTAACAGTGATATGATTAGCCTTTTCCAAGATTGAATAACTGAAGTCCTTAGCTTGAAACAAAATAGAATTGTTTTCCCAACAGCAAATAAAAGCTGGAGACCGCTTTAAAATTCCAGAAGAAAAAAGAACTTTGCACCTAAATATTCTGCACATGAAAAATAGTCCATTTAGACTTTTGGAGAACTTGTCTAGGAGCTGTTAAAATCTATCAAAAATTTGGCTAGATGCATAGAACATTAGTCATGGAATTATAACACATAAATATAACAGCATTTCAACAATGGAGAGTTTAATAAAAAAACATTAACATTAAAACAGACTGATAAAAAAGAAAACAAATATAATATATAAACATATTAACATATGAAAACACGTGTAACTTACAAGGTTAAAACTCTCAAACATAAATATATTAAAGTGAAATAGTCTATAATGGGAAGTCTGTTATATCATTAATACTGAAAACGAATTGTATATACATGTTGTATACATATACATGTATATATATATATATATATATATATATATATATGTATACATATAGATGCTGTTGGTAAGTGTTAGATACATGATCCGTTATGACATATAGCAGACAATAATGTGTTCTAAATTCATCATATATAATTATGTTAATATTAAATCTCTTTAAAACTCTTTTACCAACGATATTTCGTTAGAATAACCAACTGGTGCATTCATATTGATTTTATCAGCATTTGTAATACTTATATAAAGATGTTTCCATTGAAGACCAATCCACTTTAAAGCCACACTAAAAATAAATAATTGGCATCTGCAAGATGAGTATCATTCTGATTCGAACAGCGACATAAAAGACATAATACTGACAGCTACATAACTATTCTTATTCTGAGAACTATATGAACGATGAAGCCATGACAGCTACATGAAAGCTACAGTATTAATTTAATGACAGCTACATGAAAGATGTAGAACTTACAGCTAAATGAGTTTTATTATAGTGACATTTGTATGATTAATATGGCACGAGCAACCATGTCACTTGTATAATACTTACAGCTACATATAAATCTAGCAATAACAGTCACACAACTATTTCAAACTGATAGCTACATGAAATATATGACACTGACAGCTACATGACTACTGTTATACTTACAGCTACATAGATATCATTATATTGGCAGATGCATGATTGTTATTATTCTTACAGCTAGAGGAAAGACATAATACTGATATCTACATGATTATTTTTACACTGACAACTACACGAAAGATATAGCAATGACAGCTACATGGTTATTTTCATAATGACAGCTACATGAAAGATGTAGCACCGGATGCCACAATACTATGATTATATTGACAGCTACATGGTCAGTATTATTCTGACAGCCACCCCAAAGACGTGATACTGATATCTACAATTGTTTTTGACTAAAATAATAATGACAGCTACAAGAAAGATGTAGCACTGACAGCTTCATGAGTATTATTATAATGACAGCTACAAGAAAGCTGTAGAACCTACATCTTTATGGTTATTATCATTATAGTGACAGCTACATAAAAGATGTAGGGATGACAGCTGCATGTGTATTAATATCGTGACAGCTACATGTGTATTAATAAAGTGACAGCTACATGAAAGATTGCACTGACAGCTACATGACTATTATAACTGGAAGCCATATTACTATAATCATAACGACAGCTACATGAAAATTATGACATTTATTTAACAAAAGACACTGTATGCTTTAAGGACTATATGAACAAACAATAAAAATATATTGCTAGCAAAAGACTAGTTGTAACATTAGCTAGCTCCGTCAAATGCATGTTGGATGAATGGTTGAAACATAGAATAAATTTTAGAAGTTTAGATTTTCTTGGATCCGAAGTGTTCGTTTCATACTACCGACACTACTGCCTAGTTGAGCCGGAAATAAGGACTTTCCTAATGGATGTTTTCCTTTCTGAAATTAAGAGAAAATAGATATGAGCCGCGTCACGACAAAACCAACATAATGGGTTTGCGACCAGCATGGATCCAGACCAGCCTGCGCATCCGCGCAGTCTGATCAGGATCCATGCTGTTCGCTACCAACCCTATTACAAGTAAAGAAACTGATAGCGAACAGAATGGATCCTGATCAGACTGCGCGGATGCGCAGGCTGGTCTGGATCCATGCTGGTCGCAAACGCACTATGTTGGTTTTGTCGTGACACGGCTCAATTATTTTAAGCACGAAAAGAAGATTATATTATGTCCTAAAACTGGAATGTTGTTCAAACTTCATTTACTAAATGTCTATTTTAAGCTCGATAACTGACTGATTTATTTAACTGGCAACAGAAACTTTTATAGGCGTGTTGTTTATCAATCCATATCAGAGATGGAAAATGAGATGGAACCACCAAAACGTACATGAATATTCGCCTTAAAGACAAGTTAGCAAAAAAAAAGGATATATAAACGTGTCAGTTTGACTGTCTTTAAGGGAGGGGTGCATTGTATTGTTTACAGTAAACACTTAAAATTTTATTGAAAAGGCAAAAAGATTATCAAGCTTTTTCCTATATAATTTTGGCAAATCTCGTTTGTTTTTGCATCCTGTATTGATTTTAAAGTGTTTAAAGATATATATCTGCTGAAAAAATTATTGTCTGAATTTAAAAAAAAAAATACTTCCAAACAGCTTGTGTGAAATAAAAATGGTAGATAATTGTCATAAATGCAAACGACACAGACATAAAATCATTGCTAGACGAATAAAACCCTTCTTAAAATAGCAAAAAATATTTTGTTCCGGAACATATTTTTCTGTTTACGTACAATATTCATGTGTGTTAAATAACAGAGACCTTCTCTGTTAAAACTTACTTTGGAATCTAAATCTAAAATCTAAATCTTATTTAAAAGCGTAATCTTGACATAGTTTTCTGTTGCCAAAATTCATATTATCTTACATAAGCTTTAAACAGCGAAAAAGATTGACCAAATCTGACGAATTTATAATAAATGCACTGTCCAAATTTTCCTACATGTACAGTGAATTTACAAAATTTATTTAGTTCATTTGCGTTGGACGCTTAAATATTCCTATTAATACATTATTCGATTACCTCATCGCAAAAGTCGCTGGGACTACAAAAAATATGGCGATTTTCCTTTAGGTTTCATTATGAGGTGACGACGATGATGTTTTTGTCAACGCAAAAATGACATTGACCTTTGACCTACTGACCTTAAAGTTAATAGAAATTATTTACAGATCATGACCAACTTTTCCAACGCACTATGTTGGTTTTGTCCTTGTGCGGCTCAAATTTAATGTTGAATATGAAGAATTCACTTTTAATCATTACCCCTTAATCGTGAGTTCAAGAAACCATGTAATGATTATTGAAGACAAGCTTGTGACGATTTTTGACAATTATTAAATCATAAAACTGATTGACATGAAAGTACTTGACTTTATTGTTACAATTAGAACACGGAATCAGTTTGAACGTTTTGTGACGGTAAATGTAAACTATTTGAAAACGTATTAATAGAACACTTCAACTAAGTTATGTACATGCACACAATTAATATGATTCGAGGTTATGAAATAGAAGAAACACAGTATGCAGTTAAAAAGTTAATCCGATTCTTAAGATTTGTTTAGGGAGAGAACTCTAGAAAACAAATTTATGCTCCCGCACGGCCTACTTTTCCTGAAAATGTGATCATAGTTAACTCCCCTTACTAGCACGCAAACGTCTAGAATTACAAAGACTAGACTACGTGTTTGTTTTTCCCGCGCATTGAATAATGAAACATGTCGTTTGGATTAGCAGTAAATGTGTTAGTTACCATCAAACAAATCGTAGAGAATTATAATCGTCAATTACTTTAGGTGCTTCTTCCTCCCTTTTCTGCCTTGGTGACCGTTTTACCCTGGGTTTGCCCGTAACGGGGTCAATGTCCGGCATTTCATATTCATGGTATGAGGTATATGGTTTGTACTCCGGAATTTTTACTTGGATCTGCAAGACAATGTTTTGTTGAAAGAAAACAGTGTGTAAAATTAAGAATATGAAAACAATGAGGGAGAAGGTGAGGGATGAAAGGGATTATGGTAGAACGTTCATTTTGTCGACACATCAATATTTTATTACCACTGAAGGTTCGAACCCGTAAATGGACTTGATATTTCGTTTTAGGTAAAACTGTCCATGTAACGTTCGATACCTCAATAGTCATTAATCAAGTTTGTTCATATCCGGACAGGTATATAGGATTTTTTTTCTTTACAAAATGAAAGCTTGAGAATCACTTAATGATAGCAACAACCTTCCGCGTGCCCAATATGCAGTTTACAAAAAGTGTATTCTTCGACCATATACCTGAACCTTTTTTGTATTTCGTATTGGATTTCAAAAGCACCTACAATGCTGTAAGTCTAGTACTAGTATTCAAACATTATAATTGTGCCAAAGAAAAGAAACGTGACCCTCAGAAATTATCTAAAATGACTTCAGATTGACGTGGATAGACATGAAACCAGCAGAAAGTTAAAAACCTTACAAGCCAAAGAATTACACATGCATGTATCAAATCAAGATTAAGGACAAAGTCTCTAAATATAACTTAGGAAAATTTTAGGCAATGTCCCACAAAAGAAGAACTAGAACCAGCCACAAAACAGGAGAAAGATCTAGATCCGGGGTTATTTAAAACAATATTATCAAATACGTTCCAACTCGCAACTTCATAAGATAAAATAGCACTAAACATTATTCTCAGAAATAAAGAACAGTTTTCATAATAAGCAACAACAACAACAACAAAAACATTTTCTCATTATTATTGTGTGATATCATGTTTACTAAGAATTTAATACTGCATGATTTAATTACATTGACAATTGTCCTATTTTCCCAGAAATAAAAGGGCGACAACCAAGATCAGCGGTGGTGTTTCCGGCATAGATATTTAATTTAAGACAAAGACCTTGAATCCTTTGTGCTAACCGAAGAGCTGCTGAGTGAATACAAAACCTCCCGACTGCAAAATAATTTCAACTTTACATATAAATGGCATGCTCGCTTTATGGTTTTGCAGTAAGCACAAGATCACCGTTTTCACCCGGAATCCCTTACACATGTCAATTGATTCTGTTTTACTGTCTGAGAATATGGACGTAACCATTTTATAGTAGCAAACAACAGCAGTGCTTCCAGCGCTTTGATTTTAGTGTAAAATAAGATTTTTACGAGTGGCGTGGACTATTAATTGTATGGAGCATGTAATAAAAACAAACTTTTTATGTATTTCATAATATCTCATTTAGTATAATAACGAAGACAATTTTTACAAAATTCAATACTTAAAGTATGTATAGGAAACTTACAGATTTCACGGGATCCTTATACTCCCCTTTTGGCACCTTAAGGGGGTCCTTGTATTCACCTGCTAGTTTTTTCAGAGGGTCCACATAGGACTGCGACTTGAATGGATCTTTGACTGTAGGGATGAGGGAACTAACAGGGTCGTTCGCTGGCTTTTCTCTACTCATTATAATTCAAATGTTAATGATCCTAAAATCGAAGACAAATTCAAGTGTGTTAGTTTGCCACGTTGTCTTATGTGTACTGGAAGTCAGTCTGTTTTAGATAATAATAAAGATGTATCAATAATAAGTTTATAAAAATAAATTCATATTCATAATAATATTTATAACTATGGTTATTATTAGAATTACTGGTTCTTGTTAGTATCACAACTATTGTCATAATAATAATAATAATAATAATAATAATAATAATGATAATAATAATTATTACTATTATTATTATTATTATAATTATATATTTATAAACATTATCATCATAATAATTATAATTATCAGTATTGTTACCATCACATATCCTATGTTACTCATTACTTATAACTCAAGTATCGAGGAAATCCAAACAGTACAGGAATTCCTGTGATTACAAGAAGATACTGTGTTGCACCGTATACATCTTACAACGTATAAAGCTTACGGATTAGCTGTATATGTTGACTGTAAAACCGTATATATACAGCTAACCACCTCTTTAGCTTATACAGCTTACGACCAATATAGCTTACGGACGAGTTGTAAACGATAACTGTAACCCGGTATACAGCTTACACCGACTACAACTTACGGTTTGGTCTATTCGTCAAGATGCGGCATATCACCGTATATAGTTTATTTTTGTGAGATGACCAAGATGGTGATTTTCATCACTTTTTTGTCCCGACTGCTGGAACTACAGCTTCGCCTTCGACTAGTTGTACGACGACGATTTTTAAAGTTACAATGACATCTACGACTTAATTAAGTAACTACACGTAAAGCTATGACTTCAACGACGACTACAACTTTTACGCCTACGAGTACGTCAAAGACTATGACTTTTATTACTACGACTGTCGTGACGACTTTGAATTATACTACTACATGTAAGGATACAAACATGAAAATAACGACGTCTACCAAAAACAATCACTTATATGTGTACGAGTACTGCTTAAACTACGACAACGACTAAGTACACGACTTCAAAGACTACGCTGGTAATTCCGGCTAAAACTTTGGCTATGACTATGTCTTTTACGTCTTTTTATGAAGTCTTTTTACGGTACGATCACAAAGATAACGACGGTTTTGACCATGAACACTAACTTTACGAATTATTATTACAAGAATAGCTACGACGACTACCAAAACTATAACTTTTTGACTACTAGAAAGCCTGAGACTACAGCAAGGACCACGAAAACCTCCAAGACGCCAAGACTTATACGACTACGGCTACAAATACGACCATGTCTTCACCGACGGCTACGACCACGACCACAGTTATAACGACTACGACCATGACTGCGAGTTTTAACAAGTTATTTTACTACTTCTACGGCTTCAGATCCGACAACATCTTCGACTACATTTATAACGATAACGGTTTGTACGACGACGTCTGCTATTACTACTACTACGACTCCGACGACTACGACAGCGACAACTACAACGATAACGGCGACTTCGACTAACTATGACTATGACTACTAGCACTAGCACTAGAACTACAACAACAACTCCGACAATTTTGATCACAATGCATTAGTTAAGGTCAATGTGAACTTGGCCTTTAAACTACTGACCTAACAACTATTACGGGCCATTCCTTCTAAATATGAAAACAATATTATTATGATTTTACTTTTGTCGACAGAAGTTAGCTAAATACGTTTAGACAGAATAACTTTTTTGAAAGTAGATGCACACATCTAACTTATACAGTGTATATTAAGCTGTATATGTTGTAAACTAATGGGTAAGCTATGTACATCGTGAGCTATATAATCTGCATATATATAAATAAACAAACAAAAAACTCACCAGAAAGACTTCTTATATGTCAAAATTTAAAAAAAAAACTATTCTATTCATGTACATTAAAAATAAAAAGGTACTATATTTCGTACGACTACTAGAATTTCTTAAATCATTTAATTAAAAAAATCAGTCATACCTTTATCCAAACTATTCGGCATGTCCCTTTTCCTTCTTTCCTAAATTTTCAAATTAAATCTTCTTTTTATATTTTCTTAAAGTAACATATAAAGTAAAATATAACAACTTCAGAACGCTAATAAGAATGTTTCAAGTTTAAGTTAAAAATATGTTTTGTAGCTTTATCCTATAATTAGTTTAATTATTTATAATTGAATGCTATACCGTCATTTGACACATGCATTGTGATAAGATAGATATATTTCAATAGAACAAGGTTAAATCTAATTGATGTGTCGTGATTTTGAAAGAATTCAACCCATGAAAGATAATTATATTTACTGACGTTGTTACTAAAATAAAGATCTGTTATTTAAACCGCTTGAATAAAGAAAAAAAATGATTATAGGGTAAACAGGGGAGTGGGAGTGGGATGTGTTGACGGGGTTGGGAACTTTGAATTTTGGACCGGGTTGGTTTGGCTGAGGGGTTATCAGTCGGTTGTGTTGCTGTCGCATTATAGACTTTTAAGGTTTATTGGTCCTATATTTTATATAATTAAAATGAATGACGCACACAGTTTTGAGTGGATACAGATCTTATTTTATAACGGAAACATGATTTCTACATGTTATTTAGTTTAAACATAGTTCATAAAACATGTTGCTAATACATTTACAATAAGTAGACACACGAATGAAAAAGGATTAGAGCCGAAATCTTTAAAGCTTATAAAGGTCTTCTCCTACATATTTGTACTGTGCAGTTAAATTATGACAGTGTTTGCAATATTGTTTGAAACAAAGAAGTTAATTTTTAACATATTTGGAACGAAAAAAAAAAAGATCGAAGTTATTTTGTTTATATGTTATTTGACAATATGCGAATCAGCCGCAGTTGCAATGGTCAAATGTCGGATATTATTAAATAGTTTCTATCTAATAACTCATGTATAACTCATTATAACTCATTTTCTAACACTTAAGTGGGTAGTGGCCATGTATGTGGACTGATAAAAAAGTTAGGTTCGGAGTTCAGCAGTCAGCCACTTAGCGTTAGACTCATGTGCAGAATTAAAATACATAAGTTAGTTCTGCGGTTTTTGTTCTTGCACAACACCACATTATTCAAAGACTTGTACAGTCAGAGCATGCATAGTTAACAACCTTGTTGTATTAGCAGAGGGTACAATAAAAAAACAACTCTTTCTTAGTTTGATAACATTTTACTGAGGGAAGTTAGGTTTGGCAGTATTTTGTTCATGGCTGTATAAAAAAAATTAATAAATATTCCAGTAATTGGAAATACATGTAGTATAAGATTGACAATCACATGTATATAAATTATAATATTATATGACTAAAGCCCATATGGCTGGTTTTACTCCGGACAGTCGGAAGTGACATAAATTGCTCTGGATATCGGCTTAATATGTTTATTAAAATATAATCAATTAAATTATTTAATTTTTGTAAACTAAACTTTATGATGGAAATAAACTCCAAACATAACCTTTCTTTAGACACCTAACTAGTAAAGGGAGACAACTAGTATAAATATTAACATAATTACATGACAGGGTTGTCTCCCGTGTAATAAACTGCATGAATGAAATACAAGATTGACATATTGATTTAAGTAAATTCTGACAACTTATATTAATATATAATAACCAGTACCGATGTCTTAACAAAGAATAATTAATGTGACACAATACGGTCCGAACCTAAAATGGATTTAGAGGCAATAAATTGTAATACTTTATGTCATTACTTTACCTATTTAGTCAATATGAAAAGAATTGATAGATTGAATTCATACCCTAGACTATAACAATGTTTTATAATGTATTCTATTCACTGTCAGATAATTTATTAGTGAAAGACTACTGTTATTCAATATCTAATTTCATACTTATTAGGGCTTTTTCTCCAGATTGTATGAACTGAAACATTAATGAGCCGCGCCATGACAAAACCAACATAATGGGTTTGCGACCAGCATGGATCCAGACCAGCCTGTGCATCCGCGCAGTCTGATCAGGATGCATGCTGTTCGCTATCAGTTTCTCTACTTGTAATAGGGTTTGTAAGCGAACAGCATGGATCCTGATCAGACTGCGCGGATGCGCAGGCTGGTCTGGATCCATGCTGGTCGCAAACCCATTATGTTGGTTTTGTCATGACGCGGCTCTTTATTATTTTGTAACATATTAATACCAACCGTTAAAAAAATGTTTTATATGTATTACTATTCATTTTGATGTATAACGAGATGCATGTAAATGTATAAGTTAAATAAAATGCCTTCACGTTTTCTTCTTCTCTCTATCTTCTTCTTCTTCTTTTTCTTCTGCTTTTTAAACATGTACTATGCATTGTATCAGGGTTGATTAAAATGCGACAAAAGGATGTAGATAAAAAAGAAAAGCAAAAAGGTACCAGTAAATGCAGAAAAAAATGTAAATTTATTAAATTTTCTAATTTAATTTGAAACATATTTTAGTTTGTTTTTTTATTGAATATTCAACATAGAAAGAACTACATGTATAACTAATTAATTCAGACATGTTCCCTCCCTTTCATATAACTAGCTAGAAATAAGGTAAATGCATGCACAACAGATTCTATCGTAAAAAGAACTAGTTTCTTGTTAGATGAAAATGTGTACAGTCACACATAACGCTAGTTCATGGGTAAGACTTAAATAATATGTTATCTAATGTATTATTACACTCAATACACATCATACATACATATACTGAGAGGCCTACATCCTATATGAGAGAAATAATTGAATATAAAACATATTTAAAATGCATTGTAAATTGCAAATTTCAATCCTTAGATATAACAAATTTAATTAATCTATCGTCTGATATTGTTAGCTTACCTACTTTTAGTTCACATTGCCATTAACTACAAGATATTATTTTAAAATTTTTATAATTTTATGACGCCAAAGTGCAGTCGTCTGACTGATGTAAAAAATGCATATGTACCAGTGTAACGCACTTTGGAGTTAAATTTTGACACCAAAGTGCATTATGCACTTTAGGGTTGGACCTCAAAGTGCGGTGTTACAATGCGTAAACACGTTGTTTCTACATAAAGGGGAACTGTTCTTGGCAAAACGCATCGGTGTAAGAGCTGATGCATTGCACTGTCCTGGGACATACGATAACCCATCGTATGTCCCAGCACTGTCATAAAACATCTGATCGTTTTCAATATATTCATTTGCTGACTTTTGGAAACTAGGAAACAAGTTCGTTTTGAAGTAAATAATATTTTAAAGTTTCTTATTTTTCTTTTAAGATGATTTGGGCAGTGCTTTGCGGACAAAGTTCTGGTGCCAAAAACTTAAATAGCCGCCGTTTAAATAGTAAAAAGTTGTCACACGTGTGCTATTTTATTTTGGTTAGATTTGGTAACGGGTCTGATGCCATTAATGTCTTATATACTAAGTTTATACTCAAATTTGATAGTTCAATGCATTATGATTAACACTGTCTATATGTCAATAAGACTAATGTTGTCGGATTCTGGCACATTACGACATTGACTGAAGAGTACCGTCCTGTCACTGTATACAACCAGAACTACTAGTACGGTCGTAATGGAATTTTCGTGTCGTAACGCTTCCCCTTTAATTCCAACAATTGCACAGATCTAAACAGATTTTCGTCTAGGTAGCATTTTATTCGGCTTTTCTACAGATATGTAGTGCACAGCCATTTCACTTTTACGATTGCTGAAATCCTCGTTTGTGCCAGTGTACGAAAGGGAGGCCACTCAGGATTATCCCATTATATAAGTTGCCAAAGTATTGTCCCTTGTTCTATGTTTGAAACTTTGCATGTTGCGTGCATCCATATAACTTAAGTTTTATTGGTCATAAATATTTTAATTACATGATAAGATGCGGCAATTACTTTAAAAACGTCAGCGTATTGAAGTATTGATGATTTTCAGTAGTGGTGATATCGTTTACGCTGATGAACGCGCATTTAAAGGCACTTTTAGCCCCGAAAATTGTGTATTCTATTTCTCAAAGGATTTTTATTTATGGTGTCCTGTTATAGTTTCCATAAAGCAACTCATTCCTAAATTACCTGAACAATCTTTTACTTACGTTGCTTTTTGGCAATTACCATATTTACAGTGATTGAGCATTTTGTATGGAAGTCAAAATACTACTTTGTTTACTTTTTGCTACTTTTCTGACAAATAGTTGCACATTCAGTGCTACTTTCTTCATGAACTAAATATCCAACATGCTCTTAAACCATTATATTATGTTATAAAACTCACGTTTCTTAAGAAGGAAAAACAATATTCGTTTCTGAGTCATAATGTGCCTTTAATTGCCACAGAAACACTGTTAGTTTTCTTCGAAAAGACACCGTTCTGGGGCATATCAAATATTAATGACAAAATCGCTTGATTCCAAAAAATCGTAATGTAAATAAACCGTTATATCTTAATCAAACATACCATCTTGTAGGTAACTGAATTATTTAATTAAAATGTACCAAACATCAACGCTGTTTCTTATTAAAGATCCTGTATGTTGTGTATGTTGCAATTGAGGTTGTATACCACTCTTAAGTGAAATTATATATATGTATATAATTATACTTATAAAACAATTTTCAAACATCGAAGAATATGTAAAATATGTACTGCAAATATTTGTACATATTATATGTAATCATTAAAATATATGCATTCATTTCGTTTTGAAAAATTTGACTTAGACTTTATAGAAAATAAATTTTTACTACCTCCCTTTATTTACATGAAATGTTAAATTCGGTAATATCTTTACAAATAGTGATTTTTGAACCTTACAAAATTGATAAACCTTAAAGATATACTATGCTCAAATTTGATTTTTAAAAATATTAATAATTGCTACACAGTCTCTTTGTATGTATAAAATAAGCATGTTTGGACTTCATTTAAGGTAGATATGATAAGTTTTAAACTCTACACACTATAGGTGGTCACCATATGAATATATAGTGTAATTAAAAAAAACTGCCAGTTTTTTTAAGAAAAGACCAACTTTACTTGATACGTAATAAGGAATGCAGCTTCCCATACATAGTTTATTCATTATTGTATTCAAATTTAACATATTCAGTAAGAATTTCATGGATTTCAATACATTTCTAA